AAATGGGAGAGCTGGCCTCAGCCTCGATTTACAGTATGGTTAACTTCCGATCTTTCCTCGATACTGTAAGATCACGGAGAAAGTTTGAAGAGGGTTGTAAGCCGTTAAGAGTCGCCTTTTGCCTTAGAAGGGAAGCCAAAAAAGCTAAACGTTATACTAGGCTGATCATGTCACTGATTCTATGTATGAAATTCGCACACCATAGTCGTGCTTCTTTCAAGAGCTATTTCAATAAATTGTACCAGCTACCCACCAATGTTCTTCAAAAATGTGATAATACCCTAAAAAGCCTACAAATTTCGCAAAAAGTTGCTTAATAAACCCAGCACGCTTAAAAACTTTGCTGCACACTTTTCCAGATATTTCTAAAAATTTTTCATCAATTGGTCTTCACAATAGCGGCGCATGCTGAAAGTCCTTACCTTAATTCTAAAGCAATGAAGAAAGATCGGAGAAGATCTCAACTTAGATATTCAGATGGAGAGTCACTCCATACTGTAAATCTAGTTCCAAGCCAGCTCTATAAAATGGTACCTAAAGTTTCTCTGAAGACTTCATGACAAGAGAGAGTTATTGAAGAGGAAATGTGCCCATTTTTAGGGAGACCCTGTATTTTTGGGCCTTACTTTTCGCATCTAGGCCATTGAATGTTTCGTCCCTCTTTTGTGTTAGGCTTGCATATCAAGAAGCCTCCGTTTTGCTGCTTTGTGTTCTTGCAATCTTCCCTTGTATTTTTCTCATTTCTATCTACCTCGTTTTTTGGAGTGTTCTAGACCATGCCTTTTAGCAATAAAATGTATTCGCCTCAAGATTCGTAAAATGTTTGGGATTAAAACCCCTGCACTGAAACTGCTTTCCGAAAACATTAGTGCAAATCAATTCTTTTGAAGTAATAACAGTTTTTTTTTTCATTTCACAGTTCAAGAAACTCTTTTTGAATGATTCAAGAAATTCTGGCACTTGCCCAAATGATGAAATTGCTCGCAATCCCGCTAAATATGTCGCTGTCGAAACTGCGATGACCATGACGAGCTTCACTAATTTGCGCTCTTGAGTTGGACTATTTGCACTGTGCGATGTCCAGCTGTTACTGAACGTCGTCAGTTCAATCACGCTGCCCACATTGCGTCTTATTATACGCTCGAGGGAACAGGGAGAGTTTTACAGTCAAAGGTTGGGCTAAAAAGAAATTCGAAGAAAAGGACATGAATATTGCAAAAAACTAGCGTTTATGTGTTAGGTTGTCACCTACGTTCTGCAACTTTGTCCATAACCTCTCGCTTTTTTAATAAGGCGCACCTGAATTTTGAAAATATTCAGAATAAAGTGAGCTAGAGCAATCTGCGCACACTGTTTGATTTTGATGACAAAATGAAAAAGTATACGCATTTTACGAAGATCGATCAAACCCGAGGATATCCGCTTTTTTTCCAAAAGTTACACAATATGAATCAAGCAAATGGAAACCAAATCATCAAGAAATTGTTGTAGGTGTTGGCTACTAACGATAAGTTCAATGAAAAAAGAAATGTAAGTTAAAGACCAATCAAAACATAGCTCCCTTGAGAAATGAAACGATTCGAATGCGTCAATGCTCGGCAATTCCGTCAATACGAATGACTGCCAGATTATGACGACTTGCATAGTGGGATAATTCGGCCTACTAAACGCAAATATCATACTCAGCTGTGGATAGGGTCCAAAAATGTTTTTCGTAAATTTAAAAAAGCCTACCACGCGATATGAGTATCATTTTTGTATTGAGCTTATCGCAAAATCTCTCTAGATCAAGGTTCATCAAACTGTATGACAATTCCTTTTTTGCGATTCATAAGTTGCCCTAGCGTAAATTTCAGTGCAAGAGCAGAAGTCGGCAGAAATGTCTGCGTTCGTAGCTCACATCACAATGTTTATAAGCCACTAAGAATCTGTTTAAGTACTGAAAACAGGCGAGAGTTTAGGTATCTCAATAAAGATTTTCTCAAAACAGTTTCTGTTAAACTTTGAGATGTTACCTTAGTTGCGTAATAAATTTTTTGATGAATCCAAATCCTACAATAAGCTTTCGAATATTCAAAAGCTCTCTTTTACCATAGACTGACATAATCTGATAGCGCTGAAACTCAACAACCTCTACCTTAATCCATACTCAACCTCCACATTTTATTTCTGACCAGCACTCTTATTTTGCTTTACTGTTATAGGCGGGACTTTCGGACTACAATGGGATTGTGCAATTGTTTTGCTTTATGCTCCCATAAGGATTATATACATAGATCTTGCGCACCTTATGCAAAACACAGCTATAAAACATAAATCAATCGCCCTTCCTTACTAATTGCTTTGTAGTAAGGCTCAATTCAGAACAATGCAGTAGATTTCCTGTGATGATAAGGTATTCTCTTCACAGTACCTTGCCTTTTATGGTAAGATTAGAAAATGATAAGGTATTGTGTAATCAGGATATGGTGTATACACTTACCATTCAGAACGTTCCCAATAATAGAATCTTTGTTTTCACAATATGCAGATGCCTCTGAGCAGGAACCTTGTCAGCGGAAACTATTTGAAACTGGAAGCCAAAAACAGGAGAAACTTAATCACGTGTGGTCCAGTCCACTTTCTTCTGCGCAAACTCGTAAAAGGAAAAGGACTAGACCATACGTGGTAAGTTTCAAATTCCATACGCTATTTTTGGCTTCCAGCTCTCCGCCTTTGGCCGCTTTTCCACTAACTATAAAAAGAATTTGCTCCGACCGTGCGCCGTAGCTTCAAGTTGATTTTTCGAGGTTTCCGTTCGCCGGTCCCGCCTACGCGCAGATGACCCATCAATCCTTCCCCTCCCTTTCTTCTCAGGAATGTCCATACTATAAGCTGGATTATTTTCGCTAGTCCGGTTTGAGGAATGCTCATGCATTCTCTAGACCATGTCAAACAATGCTTTCCACTTCTTTTATGACTAGCTTGATGTACATTTGGTTTCCGGCTCTCGAGTCATTGTAATCCTTATTGAAGCATGTCATAGTCATCCCAAAAAACTTCGTTTTTATTGCCCGCCTGAAATGTACTATAAGCTCTGCCTTCCAGTAGAGTACTGTAGCCACCTCTACGTTCAATCACCTCTTCCAGTCTTGGCGCATGAAGTAAAGATTATCCATTTTTAAGCACCACAAAATTTTGTGGTACCACTAAATGGTCACTTATGCTTCCGCAAATAATTCACCTCGAAGAGGACCTACAAGATTCGCAGTAGGATTGCAGCCATTCATTCCTTGATGCAAACTAGTGTGATTTTATTCCCTCTGAATACTTCTGACACTCGTCATCAAATAGTTCGTAAATTCCATGGTTCACTCATATTCAAGTTTACTGCATTGTCCTTACAAGGGAAGGATACTTGGTCGGAGTGATGTTCCCATATGAAATGCATATTTTTTGTAAAGCTTCAAACGCCGATTCCGAATCTGCTTTTATTATGTGCAAAGCCCTTCTAGGAGAGGAGTTATGGGAAGTTTTTAAGCAAAGATCAACGCGCTACTGCAATAAAATCATTTAGGACTGCAGTCTGTAAGCTAAATAGGGCTATGATTATTGCTAGGGTGTTTTATACAACTAATACCTTTAGTCTTATGAGCTTATGCTAGTCATTATCCCTTTTGAACGCCGCAAAGATCTCAAAATCTGCTTTTACCCTAACCTAACCCTTGAACTTTTGACTCGAAAAAGTCCCATAACTCCCCTTCCAGAATCGCTTTGCAGATATCGCAAGTAGATTTGGAACTAGCGTTATATGCTCTTAAAAGCAGTAGACATTTTATATGGAAACTCCACTTCGACCAAGTATCCTTCCCTTGTTAGTGTAAATAGCAGGACCTATTAACATTTGCTCGTATTTTTGAAAAATAAAGCAACCAAGCATAACTTATCGCATCCTCGATGTATTTCTGACCAATCTTTGCTTACAATCTTTTGCTGAACAATTTCATCTTTTCATTTTGAATAGAATTTGAATGAGCATGAACAATTGTCCTTCAGCACTACTGTAGTTAAGCGAACAGCCACGAGTTCACTGAGAATTACTTATCCCTTATCCGTCAATCAAGAATGGCAAAATTTGAATGAAATATCAAATGATAGTAGTAATTATAGCATGAGTATGGAAGAGCCAACGAATTTCATGCGATTTCGATTTAGTTTTCCATTTGAGAATTACAAATTATGGGCATAAATAGAAGCTCAATCAAAAACACCTCTATTTGATTCTTGAATTTCACATTTAGCCTCTGACACCATGTGGGTGCTGATAACATATGCGCAAAAAAAAGTTGCTACAAAAGGCTCATTTTCGAGCTTTGCAATCTTGTTAATTTTTTGTGCAGCTTATTTGCTACGTAGAAATCTGTATCAATCGTCAAATAGACCAAAAACTATGCACAACTTATTCCGCACATCTGCGGAATCTACGCAAGTGCTCATCTTACTGTACCTTTTGCAATCATCCTACATAGTAGAATCGTTTCATTTCACTTTTGCAGCTCCTGCGGGGAAGCGCGGTAGAAGTTCCTTCGTCAAACCAAGATCTATTTCCACGTCTTTATGCTCAAAGCCTATTTGCTGTTCGGTTTTCTCTGTGTTGTTTTCTTGGTTTCGGTCTTTGCAGTAGATCTCTCTGTCTCTCTCTAACCTATGCGCTATAATCACGCGTTATACGCGCGCTAGAGCGCTGCGCACAGCCTAAGGGGGCCATTGTGGCTTCTATTTCGAGAGCGGGGCCGTGGGGGCCAGTTGCATGTGTGTTTGCGTTGAACTTCGAGTGGGCCTGACCATCCCGCGCCCGACTCTCCCCCTAGCGAGCCTCCCGTGCGACCCGGCCGCCGTTTGTTTATGCGCCGTCGTTGTTGTCGGAGGCTTTTCCGAGTCGATTGACTATAAAAGTCGTACTGTACTTGAGTATGTTTCAGACCTGTATATCGCTTCGTTTGCTCTATTACATCATCCACATGAGGCCACCTCGCCGACACTATTTGCTGCTACTGTTTTTGGGTATCAGTGTTGGCATTTCTGCCGTTGAAGAGACCTCTACACCAGCTAATGAAACCGTAAAAGCAGAGAAGCCAAGTGTGAGTTACTGTAACCTCGATTTGCTATCAGCTTGAGAGAGGGGTACTGTAGCTTCGCCTCAGGGTTAATATTCGTATAGATGTCACCGTTCACCCATTTGGCTGCTCGCAGGAGCTTCTGCGCAGCGATGTCAGATATTTGACATTCATGCCGACATTGTCGATATTTGACATTCATGCCGACATATTAGACAAGTCCCGACCTTAGACTAACAGAAGACGAACCCAGTCAATCATGACATAAAATGAGATCCAATCAAACGCACTCCGCTGGATGCAAATTCTCGAGTTCAATTACCCAAGCAAAAAAAATAAGTTACGCTGTCAAAGTTATACAGCTTACCTGGGTTTAATTACCATTGGAGAACGTTGCTCTTTCTTACCCCCCAAAAATCTTTTTTTCAGGCAGATTTATCTCCAAAAACACTTTCTCGAGCAAAGCGACAATGTTGCTATCAGATGCAGACGAGCTGCTGTCCACAACAGCAGCAGCAACCTCAGTGCAATTGTGTAGCCTTACAAATCCAGGTATGTTCTTATTCATCATCACAAACTGCTAGTCCTTTGATATTATTTCTGTGAAAAAAATTTTTTTTTGCTGTCCAATCATACGTTTGTTTACCAGAAATTAATTATTCACTTACTTTACTAGAGCGAAAGTGTATGCTTGCTAGGCATGGAACAAAACAAAATCAGCGACTTCTCAATCCTGCTACTTACAAAAATTTTTTCATTTGGCTTGAGCTCAGGCTATCTGGGGATCTGGCTTTGCTTCTTCAAAAACAACTCTCAAAAAAATCAAAGTACTTCAATACCGTAATCTAATCCGCTCCCGTTCTCAAACTATCCAGGCCATATCATTACTTTAACGACTCTAATAGCAACGTACCTCCGTTTATAATGCAAGAGGCCACGAATAGCGCGAAGACTTGAAATACTCGCTCTCACATCTACAAACACCTCAGTAAACAAGTTCACAATAGTCCAAACATCAAACAGTTCTTGTTATGGAAAGAGAGCAATACTTGTTTTGTGTGAGAAAGCGACTCTGTTTCAATTTTTTCAATATTCCGGCCTCGCTTTTGGAGGGTCTTAGTGCAGGTATTTTAATAGATTTTTGTTTTGGTAGTTTTTACCTATAAACATACATTTGGTGTGGACATTTGTAGATATAGATCGAAAGTGGCCCTTGGTATTACCATACGTTGAATCGTTACATTTCTGTGAAAATCTCGTTAGGGTATTACAGTAACCCTTCAGCACACTTGTCTACCCTAAATATGATCTATGATCTTCATACGTTTTTCTTATCTTTATATTTTTTCCAACCATCAAGGACAACTCCAAACTGCTTCTCTCTTACTGTTTTTTTGCAATATCCGTACACATGTTGCGATACCACAGTTTGTTTCTAATGAAACTTGGAAAGCAGATGCTCTTCCAAGAAAGCCAAAAAAGAAGCCCACTTTCTGATAGTAAAAATTCGCTATGGTATGTTCAAAGGAAATGGTATGAAAACGGATTCAGGGCTTAAAAATTTTTTGCCATTCATCGCTAAGTACATCGAAATTCAAGCCCGTCTCTTTTTTACTCTGCTACCACTCCAAGTCAAGATCCTATAGAATAAGATCCTATTCACACACAGCGGTTCGCTCGGTTTTCTCCGCATAAAGCTCAGCTCTGTTGAAACCAGTTATACACACTAGGCATTCCAACAACAAGACAAATATGGGTTGTAGATTAGTATAGTAGGATACAGATCAGGTTACCGTTCGTTAAACTAGATTCAAATCTTTTCTGGTTCAAAAAACTTGAGATAGGATTTCTGGAACGTAATTATTTGCCCCAAAAATGTATAACTAAAGTTAACCCTGTAAGAGATCTTTGACAATCTTTTTTTCCGAGTATCTACCTCCTACAAGACTTAGCTACAAAAAATAATAGTGTTGTTTCTTTTCTCAGTGCAAATCAGGAACAAAATTATCCCGTAAACTGAAAGTAAGGGCTAGGCACTCGTCAGTGGGATGTCTTTATGAGTCGATCCTTGTTATGGCTAAAATAAATTTTTAGAAAATTCTGAAAAACATTTCAATTATTTACGTACAAAAGAGTTACTTGCACATTTTTATAACTCATGTAAGTGACTTTCAAAAATTTCGCGACCCACTCTCGGGGGGAGGGGGGGGGGGGCTGTATGTCAAGAGGAGCGATTTTTATTGCCAGATGGGCAGCTTATAGCACATATTTAGTGTTTTACAAAGTTCTAGAATCACTTGAAACCTCAAGCGAAATATTTTTGATAATTGCACGGATAGCTCCATCTCATTATCCTGAAATCGATTCCAAACAAAGTTGTTGAAGGTCAAAAACCCTTGAAAATGCAACTAATAGCAATTTTGTAGATAGTCCGGTCAGTTTTCTAGCAGAAGTCGTCAAACTTATCAAGTATTTACTTCAAACAGCTAGTAAGCCATGGAGTTTGTCCAGCACTTTTTGAACCCTCCCATAACAAACTGGAGTTCTAAGTTGGTGACAGCCAGAAAAATCGCGCCTCTTGACCGTCTCCCCTCTCGGGGGGGGGGGGGGGGTCGGTACGCCACTGTCGCATAGGAATTAGTCACTGTATAAATTGCATTATTTTTGCCATCTTTTCACCGTTTCTTCTCTCGCCCCATGTTCGCACATATCGAAAATTCTCTGCCTCGAGACTTTCTATATTTCCAGGAAAACTTGGAACAGTGAAAGTTTTGTAATCGTTTTTAGAGTATAGAGATTGATAGGTACCGATCAGCACCCAACTTGAAAAAGATCAGGCCTGTATGAATACAGTTGGAAAAAAATGCATAGTGTTTGTAGTAGGTCAGAATTCCGTGTATTTTATGAGCCTTACAGAGGGAAAATTCAAAACTATCACATGCTTCGGAAGCTCGGAATCTTCGGAGGCTTCATCTACGAATAATCCTGCGATGTTGAGATTCTGCAAATGTTGAGCTGAAAAAAGCATTTTTTCAAAATTTGAGTCACTGTATAAAAGTAATCAAACTGCTCACAAATTCTTTCGCTATTTCGAGCAGCTATTTCATAAATTAAGGTACAACAATGTGACTGCGCTAACATGCTGCCGGCACAATGCGGATGTCAGGTCTCACAAAATCCTTCGTGCGACTGCGGACAACTGCAACAACAATATAGCAGTTGTGGCTGCGGTGCACCACTCACTTATCAGGTTAGGAATCTTCCTCATTTTCGCAATATTCATTATTATATTACAGGTATCATGCAATCAATGCCAAGCTGCTCCACAGCCAATGTGTGCTCCATCGTGCATGCCGTCATGTCAGCCGGGTTGCATGCAACAGCAGCAGCCGCAGTACATCGTCATGCAGCAGCCAATGCAACAGCAACAACAATGCGCTCCAGCCTGCATGCCGTCCTGCCAGCCGCAGTGCATCCAGCAGGCCTGCACGCCAGCGTGTCAGCCGATGTGCGCGCCACAGTGCGTGCAACAGCAGCAACAAGTTCCGCAGATTATCGTTGTGCAACAGGAGCCTCAGCAACAGTGCGCGCCGGCCTGCATGCCCGCGTGTCAGCCGCAATGCGTGCAACAAGCCTGTGTTCCAGCATGCCAGCCCACCTGCTCTCCACAATGCATTGAGCAGCAACAGCAACAGATCATCGTCATGCAGCAGCCACTGCAGCAGCAACAACAATGCGCTCCATCTTGTATGCCAGCTTGTCAGCAGCAGTGTGTGCAAGCATGCGGTTCAAATTGCAACCAACAACAGCAGCAGCAGCCACAAATTATCGTCGTACAGCAGCCACCCCAACAGCAGCCCCAATGCGCTCCAGCATGCATGCCAGCCTGTCAGCCGTCATGCATAGAACAACAACAGCAGCAGATTATCGTCGTTCAACAACCACAACAGCAGGATCAGTGCGTGCAGTCGTGCATGCCCTCTTGTCAACCCTCGTGCGTGCAGCAGGCGTGTGCACCGGCCTGTCAGCCGATGTGCTCTTCCCAATGTGTCGAACAGCAGCAGCAACAGATTGTCGTCGTACAGCAACCATCTCTGCCTCAGCCATCTTGCGCACCTGTCTGTCAGCCGAGCTGCTCCCCTCAGTGCGTTCAGCAGCAACAGATCTGCGCAGCCGCTTGTGAGCCCAGTTGCCAGAGTTCTTGCAGTTCCAATGCTCAATGCGTGCAGGCATGTCTGCCCAGCTGCGAATCCTCTTGCGTCCAACAGTCCAGCGGTCCTGTCGTCGTCGTCCAACAAGCGCCAAATAACTGCCCAACTGCTTGTCAGCCATCATGTACACCTCAGTGCCTCCAACAGCAACAAGTCTGTGCTTCCGCTTGCCAGCCTTCATGCCAAAGTTCTTGCAGTGGAAACCAGCAGTGCGTGCAAGCCTGCATGCCAAGTTGTCAGGCGACTTGCGCTCAGCAACCCATTCAGCAAGCCCAGGCCCAAGTGATACTGCAGGTCATGCAGGCGGCAGCTCAGCAGCAGCAGTGTGCACCAGCTTGTCAACCGTCATGCCAACCGCAATGCGTTCAACAGCAGCAGCTGTGCGTTCAGGCTTGTCTGCCAAGCTGCCAAAATGCATGCAGTGGAAATATGCAGTGTGCACAGACATGTCAAGGCAGTTGCGAACAATCTTGCGCCACGCAACAAGTGGTCGTCGTTCAAGCCCAGCCGATTTGCGGACAAGCTTGTCAGGTGAGCTTTCTCTTCCAACTTATAATCGTTTTCATCTCAATAGAAACATGGTGAACGGTAATCGATTTGAGATGGAGCAGACCAATTGCGGTAGAGCGCATCTTATTCAGCCCTTTGTCTAATTTGCCAGAGATGTTGCCGCGCTCTACCGCGAATGGCCTGCTCCAAGTAAAAGCAAGATTGTTCAGAGCTACTGGGAGGACGCTATTTGAAGCAGCGCATCGCAAACCTGAATCTTCTCCTTTCTGCCCACAAACTTTTGCGACCTCTTTTCAAGCTCCGAACTTGTTTGCTCATCCGATCTCGCTGTAATATTAGACCGCAAAAAGGCGACAAGAAAGAGGCGCAGCGCAGACAATGGGATGAACGACTGGGGTTAGAGCAAATTTGTATGCGCGCGCGTGCGAAAGCGACGGTTTCTGGTCTCTGCGAGCTAGCAAAGCAGCTCTACGGCTATTTGCGCAACGACGACGCTGCGGTAGCGCCGTCGCAGTCGTTGCTCTGGTCACTCACTCATTAGAAGCGTGCGATGTGAGTGGCGAACGCGTGTCTTCGCCAGCGGCAAACATGCAACTAGCACGATCATCGACCTAAATGACCATTTCGACCGCTGTCGTCCATTTTGAACATTGCGGGATGCGTAGGATCGCGAAAAGGCAGAAAGCAGCAAAAATAATTACTTTTATAAGAAAACGGGGCAATCATGTGGAGATGTGCTACTCGGCTACATTGGCCACAAGATTTTGGAATTGGGTTCTCCCTAAAATATGTCCTATGGAGTTACTCAGTATGTTGCTCATTCACCGGTCCTTAGTCGGCCATACTTCACGCGATTTGAATCGCGACGCGACTGAAACCGCGCAAGATATAGGCAAGGCTTTATAGAGTTCAGCAGTGTTTAAAATTATAGAATTCGCTCAAATTTGGCCCAAAAGCTCTACTCAACGCGTTACAAAAAATGAGAAGACTCACGTGACATTTCAACATTCGTAGGGTTACGGTAGCGGTATGGCTAATGGGGTCCCGTCATAAAGGCAGCCTCCCGGCAAATTGATGAGTATCAGATGTTATGAGATTGCAACGGGATCCCCGACTCTATCAGTGAAGCCTGAGCGTGAAAAGCGCGTCTGAACACCTGATACCGGCTCTGGAAGTCTTGCAGCCCCACCCATTCGTTCCGGATCCCGCCTACTTACACGTATTTTCCATTAAACGCGATATGGTGAGCTTCGAAAAAAAAAGCTCATTCACGCCATTTTCATGCGCTGCAAATGAAAAATGACCGCGTGCTCATTTTGGCTAGTTTGTCGTATCGCAGGAGCGCTAACAAGATCTTAAAACGTCAAATCGTTACTAAACTACTCTAGTTATATAAGGCGTAGCGGTTTTTTGGTTGCGATGCTGAGCTTTCCATCTCGAGTATTTTCGTCACCTACTAGGAACAACAAATATCAGCCGCAAAAACACGCTATCACTTTAGCACGACTTTCTGTTTGCTCTATGGCCGATTTGAAATCATGACCCCGCGGGGACTCATCTCAGTGGATTTAGGGATCCAATTAATCATAAATCGTTCCAGGCTCAGCCAGCATTGCAATGTTCTCCACAATGTCAGCCCACTTGTCAACCGTCCTGCCAGGCTCAGGCCAGCTACAGTCAAATGCCGGCCATTGTGATGTGCTCACAACCGGCCGGACAGTGCAGTTGTGGTTCTGGATATTCACAATGTATGCAAGGAGTATGTTGTCTACGAAAGCGACATCGTTCAGCCAAGAACAAAGCCTAGAACCTTCCCTCTCTATTTTCCCAGTCTCACACCTAGTCATTGCATTTTCCCGTTTCCATCTGAGCTAACGCTTCTTAAAAGAGCGCACTTCTACCTCACACAGAATCTGCAAAGCTGGCTTTACACTTACTGTTGCTCAAACCTCTTCTAACTGCGATTCGACACCTGTGCGCAGGCTTTTCTCTATAATGAGGATATTTATTTGTTACACGTGCTTTCTGCTCAAATACTTGTTATTCTAGAGAGACAGGATTCGGTAAAGAATCCGTATGTTCAGCTATGGTTGTACGTCATCGTTTTATTGTCAGTTGCTAAATAATGACTTCAACATGGATAAATATGGAACATCCTGCTGTATATGACTGATTTATACCAGAAAGCTTCATTGTTTACACTAAGCTGAACCTTCGCAGGTTGCTCTTGTTTTTATGGTTGAATCACCTTTTGTAGGACAAACTACCTCTATTATGTATATCTATGACTGAAACGATAATTTTCTACAGTATAGATGTTTGCGAAATTTCCGGCACTTAAAGGCAGTGTCCGTGCTAGGTTGGGGGTTTTGGGATTAAACTGTCGCGCAAAAGTAGCCGCCCTGAACATACTCACCTGCCCAGTCGCAAGCACATTTCGTGGAATCGGACGTGAGAAAAATGCTCTGGAAGCTGGAGGAGTTACGCTACTATTGGAGGACCCCGCCCACCAAGGGATATATTGATAAGCTAGAGTGTGTATATACACACAGTCAAGACGTAGGGTCCCACGACTCTCCGTCTTATCCTCGGCTTCAGGCGTCAAAATTCAAATTCGGGGGGTTCTGGAATAGCCCGTTTTCGACGTTTTCGTACTCTGCAAGTTGCGTTTTTGGAACCAGCGGGAAGGATAAGCCCAGGAAACCGAAAAAAGTCTTGTTCAAGAGTTTTCCCGTATGCTGACTTTGAAGTTCAAGAAAAAACTTTCAGTTTGTCTCGCTTGAGTTCGTTTCTTCGATTATAACCTTCAGAAAAGGAGTGCCACTGCAGTTCACAGCAGTTCACAGATGTAATCCAAGCAGCATAAACATACTCTTCAAAGTTTGCCTCATTCATTTCTTTAAATCGCTTCAGAATGGTTCTTGTACCGGTGATTATTCTCAACGTAGTCACTATTCCGCTATTCATAGCACTTGTTGTGGCTTACTTCATCTCGGCGAGAAAGGCAAGAACAATTTTCCACTAAGACAAATTTCGAAGTAAGTAATCTTGCAGCTGACCAACAAAGTTCAAACAGTTGAAGAAAACACTATGGCTATAATGGATTCGATTTTAGCGATGTCTATACCGATGCAGCTAACCAAGGAGATCAATGCCTGCGCACTGGAGCACGCTAGAAATTTGAAATGACAATAACAGCACATTGGGACTACGCATTTGTAAATGTCAATTATACCTCAAAATCTCAGTGAACGAGCCGTAACCTCATTGCTTTTCTACCAGAACTGAGTATTTCATAAAATTTGAATTTGTACTCTGTGGTAGACACCAAGCGACTTCTCGTGACAGTGCGGCACAGGGCTTAGGCACGCACCATACTTGATCAACTTGATCAGTTTGATCCATTGTTACTGATTATTTCACTTTGCGAATGGGCAAAACGGTGAACTGACCAATACCAACGGCATGTGCTCTTGATTTGACCCGCTTCATCCGTTTCGCTATTGGTCAATTCACTGATTTTGACGACTAGCGAAGTGAATCAAGTGGATAGTGGATCAGATATGGCGTGTTTCTTATGCGCAAGCTGGATATCGTTTTTGGAACAAAAAGCAAAGGGGATATCGACTTGAGAAAACGCAATTTAGGTTACCTTTTTTAGTCGACCTTTCGTTTTTTTGGTTTTTCACGTTTAGGGTTTAGGGTCAAAGAGGATTTCGTAAAATTTTGCAAAAATCAAGGGGACTTCGCTTCTTTGCATTTTCGGAAAGCCACCTCGTGTCAAGCCCTGCTCGTGGAGCGGGAAGTCTATCTACAAAGATGAACCCGGATATGAGCGGGA